TGTATCTCCTGTATTTTTCTATGTTAATAGACCAAACCCATAAAGTCAAAATTTGTTATTGATAAATACTTAGAGAAAACAAGGATTTTGATATGGAAATGAAACTAAAACTACAAGAGAAAACTTAATTTTCAAGATCAAGTTGGGCTTTTCATTCAAAGAAACAAGGTGATATGTTTAGTACCGCCCCATCCCCATGCCAGGACATATTCCAGCATACAATATTGAGGCCTAGAGCAGCCCTAACATCTAGAGAGCTACGAGATGATGGGGGCCACAGCAGACAGGCTCAGTATCAATATTTCGGCCCTAGATTTACCTGGCTATTACTTATTCCTCCATCATTTTTTATGTGTTAGACTTAAAACATATTACTCTGTTCAGCAACAAGTGTGGGGTTTATTCTGAAGAAAATGTGTTCCTACTGGCAGCAGAAAAAGATTCCTATAAACATGGTGTTAGGGAGCTGACCTAAAACAGAAGACAGAACCTCTTCATCCAGAGAGTTGCAGTGGCAACAAAGAGGGAGGATGGACCAGAGATGGAGATGGTGGTGCAGTCCAGATTGGGGGTCAAGCTGGTGGTGGGGAGATTGTCATTTTTTAAAAAAATTATTTTTTTTTCATTTAATGAGTCATAGCTAAAACTCTCAGGGCATACAAAGTAACACAGAACAGTCAAATCAATAATTTTGCCAATATTACTGTCCTCAGTCCATACTAGATGAGGTTAAGTTTGAGACTGCATTTCACAACTTTTTTCTTAGAAAGAACAGCTGGGTAGAAGCAGCAGCGGTCAGATTCAGAATGGTGGTAATGCAAAGGAAACACAGATTTTCATCTTGACAGCATTCCAAAATCCACCAAAACTGCCCCATGTCTGAAAATTAATAGAATCACAGAATATAAGTGTTGGAAAGGTGTTAATGGGCTCTTTTTTTGAACCACCCAGACTGACCCAGACTCAAAAGACACAAAGCACTGAAAACTTGGATGGCTGGGTTTTTTTATCTCCCTTCAGTGGCTGGGGGAGACTTATTTTACAAAAGGAAAGCTTTCAAATAAAAAAGAAATTGTAAATTATAAATGCCTTCAACTAGTGCAGAAATGAATCTTAATAATAAAACTATTTTCTATTTTAACTATTTTCTATAAGCTCTTTATCTACATTATTTTCTTTAAAGTCCAATTTCACTATATTTTCATATATTTGTTCTATGTCTCCATATATTTGTATAAAGCTGCTTTCTATATGTCTGTGGTCTTAATCCCTGTACATCTCTATTGTCATTGTCTATAGAGCTAAGCTCCTTTTTGTACAGAGTTTTATCTGTCTTTTATCTTTTTTAGTTTCCGTTTTCTATTTCTGTTCTGCCAAAGTCTTTTAATTTTTCATTGTCTTTTCTGCTTGCTTGTTCCTGGCTGGCCTTCTTAATTCTTCTCCTCTTCCAAATCTTTGCTCCATCTGAGAGAAATGTCTGGAAGAACTTTTACCACTCACCAGTTCTGAGGGAAGGAAAAACACTTCTCTCTCCTTAGTTTTCTCAGCTGGTGCAAGTTCCTTTTAACCTAGTTACCCCAGCCCTGGCCCTGGGTGATTAAATAATTAGATACCTAATATTTCATATTAATTTATACGTTTTATAAAACATTTAACTTCTTGTATCAAATAAGGAGAATGTCATCAGTATCTGAAGGAAATGTATTTTTTCCATGCTAATAACACATGGAATTTCCCTTTTTTGCTCCTGAAGCACAGAGAACTCAGCACAAGTTTTGATTTTTTTTGTTTACCTTTACTCTCAATGAAGAAAATAAGGAGATAAGGTTACATGGTGATACATGACAAATTTCATAAACCTATACAAACTAGGTACGATCTAAACAAGCACAAAAAGTTCAACACAAAAAATTAAAGTTAATTTGTAAGATAGATTTACCTCTCTACCTTACACCCATCCCAATCTGCTTTGAGGATCCTCCAACCAGAAAAAACAATTGCCCTTCCCTCCCCCTTCTAATGACAAAACCAGTTCCTTCAATTGAAGAACTTGATTCCAAACAATATTCAGTACATTATCAGATACAGTATAAATGCAATCTGCGACACATCTCAAAGAGCAGTTAGATGAGATCTATGGAAAAGATAACATGCTTTAGTTAACTGAGAAACTTTTTTTCTTTTAATAGAGAATAACGCCAAACGTGACTACAAGGCACTTTACAAAATTAACAGTTAAACGGAACTAGTTCAGCTTGATTTGTAACTTGTAGTCTTTTATCACAATCTACTAGGAGCCAGATTTCTTTCTTTTTAGTGTCCTTCAAGGCAGTAGCAAAAATGGAGCTGTATTGAACTACTGATTCCTTACTTGTGTGTCTGATAAACTGTGTTTTACTGAATGAAACAAAATTGTGTACACTGGGCACTGGGAGATAAAATTAAAGCTTTGGCTAGCACCACTGTTATGTTTTACAGATGAAACAGGATAAAGGAAGGAATAAAACTGGAAAATGACTCGCCTTGGTCCTCCTTCCATATACTGTCTTTGGGAGATCGCAATCACTATCTGGAAAATCCCTGAGAAGAATCTATATTGGCAAAGAATGTACACTTTACTGAAAAATATTTCCTCAAAATAAGTAATTATAGGACCAATACTGTAGAACAACATGTCAAAAATCTTCAGTTTTATTATATATTGTTATAAACTTCAGTTACTTAGTAATGAAATGCAAAAAGAAATACAACCGTCACTTTCTTCAGCAGAATTTCTTCAACTACTAAATTGGACCTCATTAGATAAAAGCAGCTATGTTACAGGAAACTAAGGATATATCTCAAAAGGCTAAAATATCCTTACAACTTGCACTAGATCAGGTAATACTGTAATAGTCTTTACAGAAATGAAAAACAAAACGACAATGTCACAATCTTCTAGAAAGTGCAGCTTTCTAAATTGGAAACTGTTTAACTAAAAATCAAGACTCTTAAACAATGAAGAAACTCTGGGAAAACTAGGTTCTCCAAAAATTACCACAAATATTGTTTACGAAATAGTGACAATTACAACAATGTAAAATTGTAGAGGAATCCATTATTTTGTTTAAAATATTTATATATAATATTGTGGAAGAATGAATTCACCACCTGAAGTGAGCAGGAAATTCTTCCCTCCTGGGATCCAGAGTTTTGGTGCTATCCGGGAAGAAGGGTTAAAACAGCCTCACCCTCTCCTTAATTGGAGAATTTGTTTTATAAAAAAGGAATTGAAAGCCAGCATGTGCATGGGTGTGTCAAGAAAGGAGTTACACGAGGAAGATTCTTGGGGAAAGAGAAGACCCCCACCTAAAGGCAAGCACCTCAGCAGTAAGGCAAGCGAAGAGAAAAAATGCTTCAGAAAGCAAGAGAAAAATGTAAATTCTTGGAGCTGCAAGACCGCTGAGACAGGGGTGGGAGAGAGCCAGACTAGAGTCTAAAAACCACTGGAAACCTGCAAACTGAACCAAGCCCACTGCGTTTAGCCACCCAGGTGCAGCGCTCTACAAACCTGCTCTAGGAACAGAGGACTGTAAGTGCTGAGGGGAGAGAAAAGCCCATTCGCAAGTCTACAAAGGAGTAAAAAGGGTTTTTTCACATTAAAATGGAATAAGATTGGCTACAAGACTTGGAGAAAAAGGGAGGATTTAGAGAACTAAGAGCTAAGAAATAGTTAAGGTAAGAAAAATTGGTAAAGTTATACATAGGAATAAGAACATAGAAATAGAACATAGGGATAGAAAATGTATAGATTAAATAAGAATAGAAATAGTTAGATAAAAATAGATAATAGAATAAGCTAGGAGTTTATTTTTGTACAATAAAATATGGTTTGGAAAAACAAAATATAGTATGTGTGTCTGTGTTCTGTATCATATTAAGAAAAACCCTAACAAATATGTTATGTATTGCCAGATTATAATGTTATTAAACAATTTTATCTCACAGATTTTTATTGAGAAAGCAATTAGCACGAGCTTCTTTTTTCTAAGAGGTGTTTCAGGATCCTACCAGTTTGTCATAGGTAGAAACCTGAAAAAACACTGTGGATCCACAGCTATAGTTTCTAACTCAGAAACTGGCAATTTTACAAATAACTTGAGATACTAGAAGAGTCATGCTATATGGAAATGTGTTATACCAGAACCATAAAAAATTATGGTTGTGGTAAAAAATTCTGTTGCTTTTGCCTTTGGCCATTCTTTTCCAAGGTAGATACGGGTCCTCTGTGTGGAAGGAATGTGAAGCTATCAACCTATAGTTTTCAGAGGAGCGGTTAGAAAAATTCCTTGCCATATTTAAAACTTTTGCTCCATCCTAAGAAAAATCTAAGACAGCCTTCCTGAAGCCTTATCCATCACAGATAATGTCCAGAATAGTAAGATGTACACATAGTCATTGCTTAATGACCACAATAGGGACCAGAAAATTTGTCATTAAGTGGGGTGATCGTTAAGCAAAAACATGTGGCTGTTAAGTGAATCACACAGTTGTTGAGCAAATCATGCAGCTCTCCACTGATTTTGTTTGCCAGAAGCCAGCTGGGAAGGTCACAAATGGCGACCAGGTGACCCCAGGACACTACAACTGTCATAAGTGCGAGCTGGTTGCCAAGCAGCTAGATTACAATCACGTGACCAACTACAGGGCTGCTGCGATGATCATAAGTGCAAGGACTGGCCGTAATTTTTTTAGCACTGTCGTAACTTTGAACGGTCGCTAAATGAATGGTCGCTAAGCAAGGACTACCTATATTGGAATATAAACTCCATCATTCTTATCAATAGTCAACATTATCTTGGGATCATTACGCTGGAGAAGGTTGATCTAAGATCATATGTAAAACAAATTTTTCTGAACTAATAGTATTATAACAAAGCATACTGTGTTCAGATTAATGGTATAAAAACACAGCATATCTCTTTTGCTACAGTTATAACTTTGAGCTTTAAGAAAAGAAGTGGATTGCATACTTTTTTTAATGAATTAAATCTGATTAGTACATTACCAGGAACAATACTCAAGCAGTAAAAGCAGGAAAGCTTGTTTCCTCCCATGATGCTGGTAACATATGAATTACAGTACTTTGCATTTTCATATAAATGTTCCTCATCAAAATAGCCATTTTGAGCCATTAAACCAAAGAATAGATGTGGGCATATGATTTTGTTGGCAAAAAACAGAGAAAGAATTTAAGTGTTAAATGGGTAACAAATTGCTACTGTATGTAAAAATCTGATTCTTGTGTGAATACCTGATCTTAATCACTATCTTATCAATATTACTTTCTCAGCAGAGAATTTGCTCACAAGCTCATATATGCAGTCATTTTTAAGTACTTGCTTTATCATGTCCTAAAAAACCTAAAATGGGTAAATATTTTTTAAAAAAATCCAGTTTCTTCTGGCAGGCCAACTTCCATCCAAGGTATTACCTGATTTATAATATTTCTCACTGAAGAAAATAATCAATTAAAGAGCTGTATTTGGGCCCAGTGAATGAATTTGGCTTATAACATATAAGTAACCAGAATGCAGAGTAGAGAAATTGTGTCTACATATTGTGGGCATTGTTCTCTCTTTGACAGTCAAAGACACAGTATAACAAGCTAATGATGGTTGGTTTTAGGACTGTGGATTTTCAGAACTATTTTCAGGTTGATGGAGGAAAATATTGTTATAGGTTACTTCTACTTTCAAAACATGTGCTTTGCTTTTAAAAATAACTTTTAAAGTTTATAATGACATTTTATTATAGTCAATGTTCTCTTTTAAAGTTATTTTTCTTTTAAAAAATGTTCAAGTGAGCCTTACAAGATAAAGCCCTATGCATAAAAGATGCTGCCATTTATTTTCTAAAGCATAACATTATAGTATCTTAATCCAGACTTTAGAGCATTTTAAAAGTGCCATTTGGAGTTCAAAGAAACACATATTATAAACTAAAATGTTATATAAAGTATAAAAATACATATACCGCAATAAAATAATCCCTACACCTCAAGAAGAGATGAAAATACTCAAGACCTCACAAAAATGCAAATCCCAAACCAAGGAATAGAAATAATTACTGATAAAAGTAACTTGTGCCAACACAGCAATTTAACAGCAATTCCACATATTTGGTACATCAGTGTTTTTGAGAACTGCAGGATCATTAGGGCAAGTCTCTCTAGTAGTGTTACTGACTTTCATGTATCTTTAAAATTACAGTTAACCATGAATTTGTCCATTCAACTGATATGATCAAAATGATCTCAGATTCTTGATGGTCAGTTCATTTTGCTCTGAATTCTCTACTTTGTAGAGGTGTTTTCTGTTTTTGAATCTAAAAACAAACAGGAAAGTATGCATATTAGAAATGACAGCAGCAAACAATTAGTTTTCTTACTTTCCAAAGGAAACTTCGTTTTAATGCTGTTTTATCAAAATACCCTTCAGTATAATGTGAACTACCAAGGAAGAAATGGCTCTAAACTAATTAAATCAGGCCCAAAGACAGGGACTAGGAAATTATTCCTACCAAACTGAATGAAAGACATACTTCTGGGTAATCATGCATAGGCTCATAGAGTCAGAATATTAGGATTTGAGAATGAGATGTGCTGCAAGAATGAACTTAAAACTCTGCTCTCATTACTGAGACCCACTCATTACTGAGAAAATGTCTATTTACTTTGAAAGTCTATAGTCCCTCACGGAATTCTTTTCTTCAGCCAATGCAGGTTTTATGAAGAAAACAAAAAAAGCATTGGACTCTGCTATGGATAAAATTTTTATTTTTACATTTACACCATGTATTATGCAATGCACAATAAGGTAAACCTACTTTCTATTTGGCATATCTGTATAGAAGAGAAAAATATAAATTTAAAATAAATCAGAAGTTCTGTTATGCAACAGAATAATTGGTCAGGAGAACTGGTCAAGAGAACTGACCTAAGATTTTAAGAGAACAAAAGCATACAATCAGTAACAGAAAAGAAGGCCTCCATTGTAATTAAGAACCATACTATCAGAACCTTTATATAATAATCTACCAGCTTTTAAATTATGTGCCATCAAGTTGGTGTTTCTTAGTAGCATGCTGAGGAGTTCATTACCTGGTGTTATATCATCAAGCACTTCATCTTGTCTATCTATGTGGTTTACTTGGAAAAATACAGGAATGGCTTACTACTGCCTTCTTCTGCACAGTAAAAAAATGATATTTTTGCCATTGTCATTAAAGTGATCCTCCATCTCCAGTATCCTCCTGTGCTACTGCTGCCCAGCAAAGGGCAGCTAGACAGTTGGAATGACCTTCATGCCTTGGGTGAATCTGGTGGGTATAGGCTCTTGGTGTACGCTGCTACCAGCATTCTTTACTCATCTGTCTTAGGATACCATTCTTTATTCTTTATTGTGAAAATATTTGTCAAATAATAGAATAATACATTAACATGTTCCAGGCCTGATGTGATATCCATATATCAAGAGAGTAAAGGTATGGAATACTTAATCCTATATTTTTCTCCATCTCAACTGTTTCTGATAAACTTTTAATATGGAACTGAAAAAATAAATAACAAGACTGAGGAGGAAATATATTAAGTTTGAGGATAATGTATTCATAATTTCTTAAAGAACCCACATAATGGAAGATAGATGAGGTAAAGAAGGTCTTTTCATTTATTTCTGAATAATTAAGAAAATCAAAACATCCAGCATTTTTCCATAAAGCTTCCAAAGTGTAGAAGCATGAGAAACAAGTAAAGAGAACCTTAAAAATTGCCTCCTTTTTGTTTTCATTCAGCTTCTAGTTTCTATTGGTATTTGTACAGAAGTACACAAAATTACTTTCTGCCTTTTAGCTTGAAGTTCACTAAACTTCATATGAAATGCAGTGAGGAATTCTATTTCAGTAAAATCAAGTTACCCTTTAATTTGCAGCATCTCATCAAATGTCTCTGGCAGAGGGTTCCCATAACTTTCGGGAAAGAAGAGGGTGAGAATCCCTACCAATACCGTTAGGCTGCCCATGAGGATGTAAGGCAGAAATCTACCATAGGCACCTAGTAAAACACAAAAAGCAGGTTTATTATAGAATGTCACCACATTAATTCATAATCACTTTAGCATATTTGATTCCTGCCCTTTCCTCCTGGACTTCAAGGCAGCACAGATGGATTTATTCATTTTATCCCTAACAGCAATCTTTCGTGATCTTTACTGTTTTTTTTTTTAATGTTATTTTGTACTATCCAACATGCACTGTTTTATACTATTTTGTCATGTGATTTTATTATGCAGTTTTTGCTCCTGTGAACCAGATGTTTTATGATATATTTCCTCCTGGACTTCAAGGCAGCACAGATAGATTTATTCATTTTATCCCTAACAGCAATCTTTCGTGATCTTTACTGTTTTTTTTTTTAATGTTATTTTGTACTATCCAACATGCACTGTTTTATACTATTTTGTCATGTGATTTTATTATGCAGTTTTTGCTCCTGTGAACCAGATGTTTTATGATATATTTTAATGGATGTTTTTACTGTACATCACCTCAGTATTAGGTAGAAGGTGTGATTTAGAGAATTCAAAGGTTTAGAATGTGATTTATTAGGTGAGACTTATGAATGATTGGCAATTAATGCCTATGTCTGAAATCCATGTTTCAGTATTGCACACTATGCAACTAAATATAGATTCCTTGGTAATCTTGTTCGTTGCTTTTGTGCCTTTAAGTCAGTGTGGAGTCCTGGAAACTGCCTGGACAAGTCCTTGCAGTTTTCTTGGCAAGATTTCAGAAGTGATTTGTCACTGTTTCTTCCTACGGCTGAGAGAGAGTGACTGGCCCAAGATCACTCAGTTGGCTTTGTGCCTAGGCAGGACTAGAACTCACATTCTCCTTGTTTCTAGCCTGATGCCTCAACCACTACACCAAACTGATTCTCTATTAAGAATTACTGGTAATAAATTATAATCCACCATTGTAAAATAACTAGGAATAAAGTGCTTCCACAAGAATAATGATGGCTTGCACTGAATATCTGGTCTTTTGAAGGAAGATGTGACTCAAGCCTAGAAAATAAACACAGGATTAATGAGATCACAGAAAAGCCTTCTGAGTATTTCTCCATCATCTGGAAGTTAAACTAGGGAGCATTTTATTTTGAGCACGTTTAAATTGTATTGTTTCTTACCCAGAAAAACAAAGTATGGTGCAATAATGCTGCCCACCCGGGATGACATGGAAGCAGCACCTACTGCCATGTTTCTTACTATGGTTGGGTAGAGTTCTGCAGTGTAGACATAAAGCATGGAGAAGGCAGATGTGATCCCAAATTTCCCCAGCATCACTAATATGAGAGACAGAATGTGGAGATCTGTGGGAAGAAGTAAAAGAAGAAATAAAACTTCTATGCTTCTTTTATTAATCAACTCTGCACAAGTCCTGCTTTTACCTCAATTATGTTTCCTTACTTCATGCGTTTTCGGCAGTGTTAGGAGTATCAAATCAATACCTAGGTATGTCATTGTTAGTTTGAACAGCTAAAGTAAAGTTATCTCTGTCTGCAACTGTACAAGTAACTTGAAGAACTAAGAGGGCACATGACTGAGAAAAACAGAGTGCTTACAGTGGGATTACCACTAAAGGAGCACCTATGCATTTTCACCTAAGTATGATGCACTTGTGCAAGCTTCATTCAGGAAACTTACAAAGCTGAGGAAGACTTTTAATGAGAAACCTCCTTGGGCATGCTCTTAAGGCCTAATCTGCATCATCCCTAGAGTTCTCAAAAACTAACACAAAAGCCTTGAGAACCATAATACTAATATAGACATCTCCAGAACAGAAGTGGGTATGAATGCAAAGATGACTATTGAAGAGTGAAAGATCACTTGAAGAATCACAAATAACTAACCCATCTTACCTCTTTATGGTTGTATATCACACAAAAATTGCTAGCAAGCTGTCAGAAGCTAGGGAGAAAACTACTGGCAAAATCACCCAATTAATGCAGGCATTTGTCATGAAGTAGCTATCCAAGCAACACCGCTTCACAAAGATGAGACCTAAGTGAAGCACAACTGTAACCATGTGAAACTGCAGGCATGATGGTCAGCTCTGAGAGCATGTAACTCACTAGTAGCCTTTCTAGCTATTTTTTGCCACATATCTACAGCACACTTAATAAGCCAGGACACCAGAATTGATGGATTCAGCAATCCATGAGCATAGATTCAAATACCAGGTCTTCAAGAGGTAAAGGGGTTTCTGTACCTCAAAACCTGAAGTAGAAACCATGCAAAATAACTATTCAGTATTATGCTGGTCTGTGACCATAATGAAGATTGATTTGATTTCATTTGTTTGTTCAGTGTTGCTTCTTCTCTAAAGGAACAATAGCTTGTTGGGTTTGAAAATGAAAATTAAAGACATGCAAAGGAAGGGTCTTTCAAATCCAAAGTATAATCAGACAGACATCAAATGAGACCATAATTTCATCTTCATCTATGTGTACATCGACCAATTGTATCTTTACCAGGGACTCCAACATACAACATACCGAAAGAACTGAGAGAAAAGCCTGGACATCTCACAGAGAAGAGTGAATATTCTATCAACTCCTCACTACAGTGCCTCCAGAAAATCAAAAAGGAAAAATTGGTGAAGAAGGAAATATTGGCTTAACT